CCGGAGCCACCGCGTGCTCTGACCCGCAGGGCCCTTTCTGAGAGGTCGGGATCGTGGAGCGGAGCGGCAGCGTCTCCCCGGGCTACCGACAAGACTCGGAGCCGGGTAAAGGAACGTCCTGAAGACCGAGAGCCGGCTCTCGCGCCGGCTTTTGTGTCTTGAACAAACTTGACACACACGTGTGCATATTCCTCTTACGAGCGCTGCCCGCGTGCTGAGCGCTGGGCTGCCAAGGGGTTCCCATACCGAGGACCCGAGCAGATGTCTGTGGCTCTGCAGGGACAGAGGCACCGCGGGGCGTGAGTGGAGCCCCGGGCACTAGCAAGGCGCGGAAGACTGGGTGGCTTTCCCTAAAGGAGAACGCTCCCTGCTTTCCGTATGCATCTCGAAACAACCGCGAAACAAATCTTAGAGGCAAATAACAAAATGCGTAAAATCAAAAGAAAGGACAGAGGCAGTGAACCGGGCTGGGCGAGGTCCTCCCGAGGACCAGCTCTGGCTTCCGAACCACAAGCGACATTGGGGGCTGGGCCGACAGCAGCGCCTGCTTGAGGACTGCGCGCGGGGGGAGCGCGCGGCCTGACCAGCCCTGGCGGCGCGGTGGAATCGCAGGCCGCCGCGGAGGCAGACTCCTGCTTAGCTCCTGGAGGGAAACCTGAGCGTGGACTTCCTTGCTTAGCGTCGCATCCCGGGAAATATTCGCCCAGTGAGGGCGAGTCCTGTCCCTACACCGCGGCTGATCCCTGATCCCCGTGAGAACCCGTCCCAGCCACAAGGCCCAGTCCCCAGAAGACAGGCTGGGCAAAAAAAACCAAACTGGTTTCTGGTCGGAACATCAGATTGGAAACGTGGTTCCCACTTTGTTCCTCTCTGGATTACTTGACACCTTGCAAAACGGGGACTTGTTTACTTCTCTTGGCTTTCTTCCCCAGGCTAGAAGTGATCCTCCTCGCGGGCGTGTGTTATTCATCTTTGTACTCACTGCCATGGCAGTCTTGCTCAGAACAGGCTCCAGATAAATGATTTTTAAATATGTGTGTATGAGAAACCGAGGTTTAGTCCCCAAACTCTCTGAGTTCTCTAGTGACTTCAAGCCTTTAGCACCCTTATCTGGTTCAAAAAAAAAGGTTTTTCACAGTCTTTGTAATAGGTGGCCCGTCTGCCTCTCTGGGGTTATTGCAAAGATCAAATGAGATCAGTGAAATGCTTTGTAAACTACCGGGAGCTGAGCAAATATATAGGGTGGTTATTCATTAGTTCCCTCTGTTCAGGAAGCTTAGGAGATGATCCTGGTCTTCTGCCCCTGCAGTTAGACGGTGGCCGTCCTTCTCGATAAGCCTTAAATATATATTGCAGGACAGTCTCATCTGTACACTTAGGAAATAAATCAAGCTTCTATTTCTTTGAGTGAAATGAACAGTGCGTGCATACAATGAAGAAAAATCCTCGTATTCCTGAAACGTCCACCCCGTGCAACCCAAGAGCCCATCAGCAGAGACAGGACACTGTGTGCCAACATGGGGACCCGAAGCAGGAGGGCAGGATCCCAGAACCGGGTGATGCGCACCGCACAGGCTAGTCCGAAAGAAGGGAGTCTGCAGAAGGCATGTACGCTGGCCAGTCAGGTGTGCGTGCTGGCCGGCTGGTGTGCATGTGTGCCCTGCCCACATTGGAAGGGAACAGGGAGAATGTAAATCATTATATCTGAATGTTCCTTGGCTGATTTATTTTCCTGTCAAGTGGCTTAAGCTTGATTTTTTTTTTTTTAAGCATTCCCTCATGGCCAAGTATGTGTTTCCTTGGAATTGAAATCTAGGTTGATGGCTTTATATTTTGAAAGCTTTCATTGTGAGTCATTCTTGGCCTGAGATAGGGTTCTGTAATACTCCCCAAGCTTCAGGAGCTTCGGTATTCTATTCCTTGTGCTCCATATCCCCTTTCGAACATTTTGCCAATGGATCCAAGAAAGTCACTTCTGGGGACAAGCATTTCATTGTCTTCTCGTCATCTTCACCAGTGAGGAAAGGGTCCCTAGTGTGTACTTTTTCCGATGAAGTCGGACAATAGCAGAGGCAGCAGAAAGTTCTCCAGTGGCTAGACAGAAGTGTCAGCTGTGCACCACTCCGACTCCCTAGTGAAGCATTTTAAGTGGGATCGGCCTTGGGAAGCCTGAGCCGGGCTCAGCACTGGGTCAGTGCTCCACAGACGGCCAACACCCCTCATGGCTGCAGCCTGAACACTCCTGTGGGCTCCCCCGCCCTGGAAGGCCTTGCAGACTGCAGGCTGGAGGGCGTGGTAGTGGACCAGACACTGCCCAACCGCGTGTCTGAGAGACTTGTTCTGAGATGCCTGGGAATCCACATTTCTGCAACATCCTCCCACATGTATGGGGTTAAACAGTCTTAAATGGGCACCTCTTAATTCCGGCCTTTCTAATGCCTTCAGAAAGACAGATGGTCATACTTCTATCA